TGAGATACCATTACACATCCATTGGCATGGTGAAAATAAAAAATAGTGATAACACCACATGCTGGTGAGGATGTGGAGGACTGGGATCCCTCAGTCATTGCTGGTGGCAATGTAAAGTGATACAGCCACTCTCAAAAGAGTATGGCACTTTCTTACAAAACTAAATATGTGCTTACCATACAGTCCAGCAATTGCACTCTTGGGCATTTCTCCCGGAGAAATGAAAACTTACATTCACACAAAAGCCTACACATGAACATTCACTGCAGTGTTATTCATAATAGCCAATAATTGGAAACAATCCAAATGCCCTTCAATGGGCAAATAGTTAAACAAACTGTGGAACATCCATACTATGAATTACTAGTCAGCAATATACAGGAACAAGCTATTGATACATGCAGCCACTTGGATGGATCTCAAGGGAATTATGCAGAGTGAAAGAAAAAGCCAATCCCCAAAGGTTACTATATGATTCCATTTATATAACATTCTTGAAATGACAAAGTTATAGAAATGGAAGATAGATTAACAGTTGCTGCAGACTGGAAAGTAGAGGAGGGAGGCAGGTGGCTGTGGCTGTAAAAGGACAGCACAGGGGACCTTGTGGTGCATCTCGACTGTGGCAGAGGTCATACAAATCCATGTGTGTTCTAGAACTACATAGAACTAAGCACACATGAATGCATGTCACACTGGTGAAATCTGACTAAGGTTGGAAGATTATATCAATGTCAGTTTCCTGGTTGTGATATTGTACTAGGTTTATGAAAGAAGTTACCATTGGGGAAAACTACCTGTGAATCTGTAATCATCTTGAAATGAAAAAGTTTCTGCTGGACGTCAGTGAGGGATGTGGATCCAGAGGGCACAGAGGGGAGAGGCCAAGGCGCTTGCCCAAGTTCACACACTTGGGGGTTGAACTCTAGAGTCTTAGGCTCATAACCCCTGCTCTGAGCCACCACCTCATCTGCTAGAAAACTGTTGCCTGGAAACTTCCCCTTCCTCTTTCCATGACTCTAGTGATATGGCCAATGAAAGGAACTTGAGCCCAAGATGACAAGGCCCTTGCTCTTACCCACACTCAGGATGGGGCGCATGAATGCTGTACCCACCAGTCCCGCGAGATGGAGGGAGGGGGTCCAGGAGGGCCGTGGGCCACGTCGGGTCAGAGTCCTTTTAGAGGAATTGACGTAGACATTGAGAAAGAGACTCTTTATTTCTGAAAGGACTATCGAAAAAGAATTTTCCAAGTGCCTTTTTCCCCAAATCACGTAGACATAGTGTGCCTGGGGATAAAGTAAACATAGGAAGCCAGAGGCAAGGCATGGAGGAGGAGAAGCAGAAACTTGATGCTAAAAAATGAGCATCAGTATCTCAATATATCTGTATCTATTAATATATCTGTATCAACTACCTGTTATTGACACATTGCACTGGTTATTCCTGGATTGCTTAGGTATATAGAGCATCTCTTCACTTTCTGCACACTTAAATAAGTTTGGGTGTCATTTCTATTACTTGCAACCCAAAGAGTGCCAACATGTTGCCGCTGTGCTTGCTATATGCCTCCTGGGACTTTGCCCACCAGCCCAGGCTCTGCTCGACCAGGGGAGTCATTAGTGAATCCACGATGCTGTGATGCTGAGATCTGGCCAGCCCTCCAGAGAGTTGAGGATTCCAGTCTGGGCTTCCTCCTGCGGGGACCCTCTGCGGGGTACCCCGAGCCCCGCCTGGGGAGAGGGAAAGGGTGGTTGTGTGCTAGACGGGAGCAGCTTCTCTGGCATGAGGAGTAGCAAGTGGCTGATTTACAGATTTTTTTCCTTGGAGTCTATTTCCCACTTCAGTTGTCAGCCCATCTCCAAAATGATTTAAATGGGGAACTCTGGAAATGTAGATTCTCACCAGGGTTCTGACACTAGCCGTGGGACACAGAGCGTGTCACCTAACTACCAGTGTCCTCACCTGATGCCTGGGATTTGACTCCCACCAATGAAAGCTCACTGTGGGAGCCTGGTGGCCTCTGTCACTAATGACTGGATAAGAACCAGGGATGAAAGTCCTAGCACTTCACTAAGGTCTTTACAGCATGTTTAAGGTCACGGCAGGGGTTGGGGCATGCTCTGCAGGTGGAGAGAGAGGGAAGAAAGCCCAGTGGTCAGCACACTCTTCACTACAGAGAAAGCCACGTGGCACCTTTCCAGGGTGAGTTCTCACCAACCAGGCTCCAGACAAACTTCCTGTGCTCAAGACGGACTTTCCAGGCCCCTCTGCAGCCCGTGTCACCATCACTGTCTGTCACCTCCTTTCGTCCCTTCCAGGTGCCCTCACCTTTGCTATTGGTGCTGGCGTTTGCACCCTGTCCGACCCTCTTCATGAGAGCTGGGACTCAGTTTCTCTCATTTGCTCCTCTGTCCCCAAGCCCAACATATAGACACTCAGTAAATATCAGTGAGTGGATTTATTTACTGAACAAGAGACTGTTGATGCACACTTGAGCAATGCACACACTCTGACCGGCTTTCCTCCTGCCTACACTCTGCCTGCTGTTGAGACCTTTCTAGTACATTCTCGGATGCTCTCACTGGCCATGGAGGACTGTTGTCATCCCTGCAAGACTTGGGGCAATGTAATGGCTGAGACTATGGACTGGGAATGCAGACAGGCTTGCTTGGATCTCTGGCTCTACCACTTGCAAACTGAGTACCCTGGGCAAGTTAATTAACCTCTCTGAGCCTCAGTTTCCCCACCTGAGCATTCAGTAAACAGCAGCTTTTGTTATTCTATCCAAACAATGGTTCCCAGCCTCCTCTGTCTGGAAGGGTTGCTTGTACTCCCTTCTTTCTGAGTTGAGAGCCCTGGCCTGGGCCGGAGGCCTCTGAGACCACCGAAGAAAGAGATTGACAAAACAGAAAAGTCCAAACTCAGTGATTGTGCCCCTGGGGACCAAGAGTTAATGATCCAGGGCCAGTTAATGAGCTTCCTCCTCTGCTCCCTCCTGTTGCAGGTGGCGTGGCAGCCTTCCAGGCCCAGCGGCTGCTCTCTGCACCTGTCCCCTCCGCATCCCGTTTCTTTGCAGTGTCCTAGAAAGCTAACCAAGCTGAAATCACTTCTACCGAGGCCGGAGCCCTCCTGCATTGCTATTCAGTGTTCTCTGAGGCCCCAGACTCATCTCTGCCTCCCATTCTTTTCCATCTGCTGGAGCAGCCAAAGGAGTCGGTGGTGGTAACTGCTGAGATGGTCTCTTCAGTGCCGAGGGTCTGGCCTTGCCTGGGGTTGGGGACAGAATGAGGCTGTCCTGGAGGGCTCACTTTGTGAATTCCTGCACCCTCCTTTACGACCCCTGAGCATTCATCCTGGGTGCTTCCTGAGGTGGCCCCATATTTTATAGTCGCTAACAATAATAATAGCTAATATTTATTGAGAGCCAAGCCAAGCAGTGCTTGGTTAATTCACTCAATCTCCAGAAGACAGACTGTTAATAGGTGACTTCTGTGGGTGGGCAGAGGTGTGATTCAGCTGGGACTGGACATCTCCAGGCACCGTCTGCATGCATGGGCTTCATGGGGCAGGGGAACCGTGAGGAGGGTATTCTAAGGCTTCACTTCCGGGCTCAGAGAGGAGAGGATGGCATGTTCCTAGTCTCATGGATTAGGAGGTTGTGAGTGTGAGGGACAGAAGCACATTCTTCCCGTTTCTGGTGACTTTGGTTGCATTTCTGGATCATGAAGGTTGTTGCAGCTGATAATTCTGATGCTTCACACCACGTCCCCTGGCCCTTGCCACATTTCAGCAGCAGCACGGTGCATGGTTCTCGTGCATGCTGATGGTGTCCCGCCTCAAATGCCCTCCTTCTCTTTCTCCTTCTCTGCCCTCACTCAGGCATATGGGAGTCAGTGGACAAATGTCCCAGACTTTCATCCTTCAGAGGGACAGTCCTCAGAGTGTTCACAGCAGAATTGGGTCCTGGTTGTCCACAGTGATAATTGGGTCAATAAACACAGGTAATGGCTTTTCCTTTTTCCCTTCTTGCTCTCTCTGCTTCTTCACTGCTACCTCTTGGAATCACCTCTTAGACCAACTACCAGCACTGAAATCCTTGCATCTGGCTCTGCTTTGAGGATCCCAAACTAAGACAGTCACATGCTGCTGGGAGCCCAAGGAGATAGCCCCGTGACCAGGGCAGTGCTGATGATTCCCCAGAGTACTGACACAGTAGACAGTGCTGATACACACGGTACATGGCACTTGGTGGCATTTAGCACCTGTGGGACAACCCCCCCCCCCACCAAGACTCCCAGGAAAACCTGGGTAGTGCTGTGACAGAGACTCTCTATTGTGCCCCGAATCTACTCTCCCCTTCTTTTAGGACTCCATAGGCTACCCAGTGGAGACTACATTTCCCAGCCTCCCTTGCAGCTGGTGTGTCCATGGGCTTGCCAATGGAATGTGAGTGGAAGTGATGGGTCACTTCCTTTAAAGGAAATTGCTTGGCCTCCATTCTTCTACTCCCATGCCCTTGGGGACTTGGTGTTGGTTGTTCATGAACTCTGAGAACAGCACCTTAGGGGAAGGTGGAGCAACAAGGCAGAAGGAACCTGGGACCCTGAGTGACACTGTGGAGTAGAATTGCCTCCTGCCTAGGACCACCGTTCACCTCTGGGATGTTACATGGGAGAAATATAAAGTTTCATTCTGCTTGAACTACTATGTTTTTGTGTCTCTCTGTTCCGGCAGCTGATCCTGTGCTCTAACTAATACAGTCAATAAGAAGGAATCTGAGCAAGCAAAATGTGGGTATAAATGCTGACGTGACCTCATTTGTGCCCCGAGGCTGGTAAGGCCTGGGGACATTAAGGTTACATAACCAGCCTGTGGTGTGTTAAGTGCTACAGAGAACGTGGGAGTTAGGGAAGCTCCTGGGACGCTGCAGAGACCCAGGTTCCTCTCCGACTTGTCACAGACCTCTGCGGCTCACGTCTTAGCCTGTGTACCCTGACCTGTAATGATGTCCACTTCTGTGTCCTTTCTGCCAATTCCTCTCCTTCCAGGCTTGGCTGCTTTGGCACTCGGGCTGTCTGGTGTGGATCGAATACTCTATCAGCTTTGGGGATCTGGGCTCCACAACAAATGGGCAGCAGTTCTGGAGCAGATGTGCCCTGGCTTGTATCGCTCGTCTTTGCTCTCCAGGTGTGGGTGACTTTTCACCTCATGGTCATCTTGTACCTCCTTATCAAACAGAGCCCAGGGGCGATAACTTGTAGTTTGCTATTGCTGCATAACAAGTCGCTGCAAACTTAGTGGCTTAAAACAGCACTCCTTTATTATGTCACAGTTCCGTAGGTCAGAAGTTGGGTGTAGGCACAGCTGGATTCTCTCCTTAAGGTCTCATAAGACTGAAATCAAGGTATCAGTTAATCTGGAGGCTCTGAGGAAGAATTCGCTTCTAAGCTCATTCTTGTTATCGGCAGAGTTCAGTTGCTTGTGGTTGTAGGACTGAGGTCCCAGTTTCTTTGCTGGCTGTTGGCCAGGGTCATCCTCATCTCATAGATGCCATTCTCTGGTCCTTACCCGCACCCATCCCCATATATTAATACAGAGCTGTCACTTTTGATCTTTCTCATCCTTCAAATCTCTCGGACTTACCCTTCTGCTACCAGCTTGAGAAAACTCTCCAGTTTTAAAGGGCTCATTGTATCAGGCCCATGATAACCTTCCTTTTGATTTACTCAATGTCAACTGATAAGTAACCTTAATTACAACTGCAAAATCTCCTTCACTGAGTAAGGTAACATGATCGCAGGCATGATGTTGCATTGTATGCACAGTCCTGGGGATTAAAGTAGGAATTCTTGGGGTCCTATTTGACTTCTGCCTACCACATCTATAGCCCCTTTTATCTTAGAATATGTAATCTTCTCCTTCCCTTGAGGGGGAGAAAAGGTGATCTCTTGATGCCGAATTTGGGGTAAGACCCCCCCCCCACTATGGCAAGGTGTTCAAAGGTGCTGGGGGGTGGGATTAAGAGTCAGGAGGATGTATAAAGGATGGGCACTTTATTTGCTCATCCAACCATATTTATTGAGAACCTTTAGTGCTAGGTGCTTGGGATTTGGCAGGAAACAGAACAGAGAGTCCATGCCCTCATGGAGCTGATGGTCTAGTGGGGTAGCCAACAGTAAAGGGGGTGAGTTTTCCTCAAGGAGCAGTATGGGGTTCTGTGGGAGGGAAACTGAGGCTGGAATGTCAGCTAAGGGTGAAGAGGGCAGGAATTGACATGGGGTTGGGGTACATGTTCTGTGAGGTTGGGAAGGATGCCATCTCCCAGGTGACGTTAGAGCCCAAACCATTATAAGCTGGAATACAGAGCACTGAGTCCTCCAAGAATCCTGAGTTCTCCAATCCCATTTCCCCAGGAAATGCCAGGGGCCATTATTTTTGGATACCATAAGAAGTGGACACATGTAAGAGAATTCTGTACTTTTTGTAGTCCCAATTACTGAGGACTTAGCCCTTGCATTGCTCAATGTCTTGTAATTGGCTAGGGTGACCAACTAACTGTCCAAACTTTCCCAGGACTGAGGGAGTTCTTGGGATGTGAGACTGACAGTTTCAAACCTGGGATGCAGAGGTTTCCCAGGACAACAGACTTTCAGTGCTAAAACTGGAAAAGTCCCAGAAAAAGGGAGCTAAGTTGGTCACCCTACCCTAAATAAAAAGGAAAACAGGATTCTCTTGAAGCTCAAAAGATGGGGGGAAAAAGGCCATCTCTTCTGTTAAACCAGGGTGCTTCCATTCCTCTGCTGATGGAAGGTTTGAAAGCTCTCGTGCTCCCCTCTTTGCCTTGGCCTCCAACTAGCTCCAAGGAAGACTTATGGATAATATTGGTAGCATCTGCCAGTCTAGGTTGCCTGTAGTTGTTTCATTGCCTCTGCCTTGCTTTTTACTATCTTTTTTCTCTTTAGAAATTTTAACATGTGGTATAAATTACACCCAGAATTACATTAAATTATTCTTACCAAGCATACATGAGAGAATGTGTATGTCTTTTGTCTTTTTAGTTCCCTTCATTTAACTACTATTTCATTCCATGTGTTTATTATTTCGGGGGGGGGGTGGAAAACTATGGCCTGTGGGCCAAATCTGGGCTCACTGCCTCTTTTTGTAAAAATACTTTCATTGGACCACAGCCATGCTCATTAATTTATATATCGTACACATATATGTACAATATATGTATTAGTATATGTATATACATATAATGTGATAATAATATGTATTTAATAATTTTTCTATGGCTGCTTTCCTGCTACAATGACAGCACTGATTGGTTGCCACAGAGACTCTGTTGCCCGCAAAGCCTAACATAATTACTATCTGAGCCTTCACAGTTTGCCAACCTTGTGTTTAACACAAACCTCAAAAGTTTTTGAAACGATTTATAGAGTTTCAGTTTTTACATTTATGCAGTATATGTATATTTCCCGTCTCAAAAAAGGATATTTTCAAAATATACATATATGTACATTTTGTTTACAAAAGTAATATGTGCTCATTATAAAAATGTTAACATCCCAGAAATACGTAATGATGACAATGAACACCCCCTTCTAACTCAATTCTCACTGGTGGCCTCAATTAACTAGTCAACTCGTGTAGATTTCTTCAGATTCCTTTCAGTGCATAAACTGATCTACACATATCATTAAAATAATACCAGAAGAGAAATAAATCACTATGAGAACAAATTTTCCTGGGTAAGCATTCTTAAATTCTCTATCGGCAGCATTTTTCTGACACACATTCGTAGTCATTCTCACTCATTGTTTCCAATATCTTTCCTCATTGATCTGGTGTAATGAAAAGCCTTTTCTAACTCATTTTCACAACAGCAACATCATTGCAAGTTCTAATTATTCCTGGTACCTATCATTACAATAATTATCCTTTTAAAAAAATCATTACTAATTACTGTTACTTTAACACATCCCTCAGAATCAACGAGGAGGGCAGATGCCTGGAGCCTGTCACCCTGCTTCCAAACCACTGCGCTAAGCATGCAGGACTGTAGCTTCAGCTGATGACCTGCTTGCTTCTAGAGGGCTCTGAGGACCAGCACCCTCACACGGCACCCACGCGATGGCATCGCTCACCTCCAGAAGCCCAAGTCTCCTACGGCATCTGTGGTCACCCAGAATCTTAGATCCATAATGCTCCCTGCATCTCCCCTCCCCGCTCCTCTTGTCTCCCCTTGCTTCCCTCCCCAAACATTCCCTCCATACCCTCTGGAATTCCCAATCTGTAACCAGCAAACACCCCTATATTCTCAGTGTCTTCTCCAAACATTTTCTCACCTTGGCTTACACCCAGTGGTCCCCCAGCCTCCCGGTCAGCCTGCCCAAGTGTAGGTTGCTTTTCTTCCTTACCCACGTATCTCAGGGCTCCCCTTTGCAACTTTCAAAACATTTCCTTTCCTTTGAATTAAAAAACAAAATCCCAGGATCTTGCAAATGAAGTTTTCAGATTCATTTCAATTCAGATCAGCTGCATCTCAAGCACTCAACAGCCAAGTGTGGCCAGTGGCTCTTGTATTGGACAGAGCAGCTGTAGCATCAGCTGCTCCTCCTCGAGGTGGTCATCTACCACCCCCTCCATTGTTAAAGACTCTGGTGCCTGTTCAGTCACTACCTTTCTTCCCACCTTACTCTTTTTTTTGAGACAGAGTCTCGCTTTGTTGCCCAGGCTAGAGTGAGTGCCATGGCATCAGCCTAGCTCACAGCAACCTCAAACTCCTGGGCTCAAGTGATCCTGCCTCAGCCTCCTGAGTAGCTGGGACTACAGGTGTGCATCACCATGCCTGGCTATTTTTTTCTATATATTTCTAGTTGTCCTGCTAATTTCTATCTATTTTTTCAGTAGAGACGGGATCTGGCCCTTGCTCAGGCTGGTTCTTCCCACTCTACTCTTCTCATCACTCTTGGTGATTTCAACATGTACACAGATGACTCATGCAATCCTTTGACTTCTCTGTCACTTGGCTTTCCCACCCACCCATGATCTTTCCTGCATCCCACTTCAGACATCCTTTCCCATTGCCACACCCAGACCTCACAAGTGGTAGTGACTGGGCAACCTCTGGAATCTGGATTTCAAGTCTCCTCCCATTGTCTGACCAAATTGCCTCTCCTACTCTGATTCCTTTGCTCCAAACATTTCCCCGACTCAGTGAGACCTTCAGTTTACCCTTGTCCAACAGAAATACAATGCAAACCACGTATGTCATTTAAAATTTCCTAATAGCCACATTAAGAAATGTAAAATGAACAGTCAAAATTAATTTTAATAATATATTTTATTTAGCCCAAGAGATCCAAAATATTGTCATGTCAACATATAATCAATATAAAAATTACTTCATGAGATATTTTATTAATACATTATGTTCTTGAAGTCTTTGAGATCCATGTGTACTTTACACTTACAGCATATCTCAGTCCACACCAGCCACACCTCAAGAGCTCAGTGCAGCCAGTGGCTACCATATTGGACAGAGCAGCTCTACGGTTGACCCAATTAAGTTTCTTCCAGCCTCATCAATGTCTTTTTATTTTTTCATCTTTCTTCTTTCCTATGTAGATTGCATGCTTCATTGCTATCATCGTGCTATTCCAAATGTCCTCCATTCTCTATCTTTTCACCTCAAAAAAATCTTATTACTGGTTGGACCAAACTATGGGTCTATATCCACACCATTGAGTATTACAGGAGAAAATCGCACATCTGGGCTGCCTCACTCCACCTTAACTTCATGGCCACAAATTCCAAATGGACATATAATGCTCCCCAGAAACTTTATCACGTTTTCCTGGTTATATTTGCTTCCTTGCTCTCCAGAACTATTATTTCATATGTCTCTTCTCAAACCTCCCTGGCCTCCCCCTCCCTCACTTCTGCTTCTCAGCAGACGTGCCCTTTGCCTCATCATTCACTAACGGATGTCACACAGACCTGGTATCTCCAAAATGGAGCTCCACACCCCGCCCCCGCCCGATCAATACAGGTAATGCTGCCATCACTGAGGCCAAAACCTGGGTTGGTTTTGTTTCCTTACTCCTAATTTGCCAGCAAGTCCTATCATCCAGAATGAATCTAAAATCTGTCCCCTTCTCTAAGTCTACAGCCACCAACCACCTGGACCCTTCATCTCTTGTGGCGACAGCTAGCTGATCTTTTTCCACTCTGACACCTCACA